CTTTTGGGATGCATCATTTACTAACATTATAAATGAGGCATTTATGCAGCAGGTATATATATGTAAATTCTTCTTGGTCATATGCAGGTTTGTACCGGCACTGACAACAACTTTGTTGTCATCAACCAAAAGGGTATCGATCCCCCTTCCTTGCATCTCCTCCAACAGGCAGGGGTAAGTTATGAACCTTTATTCTATCTATCTTTGTCCCAGCTACCAACTTATAAATCTTTAATGATGTCTTGTTTGATTTTTGCATATAAATAATTTTTCTAGTCAAGTCTCTTTGTTATGCTATACATATGATTTCAACTTATCCATGTTTCATTCAATGAAGAAGAGGGAGGACCAATAAGTAAACACATGATTACTGAGATCAGTAACTAATTAATTTTTGTGCCCTAGGTTGCAAAATATAATGCCATTATCATTGTATTAGGTCAATTGTAGCAGGATATAGGTCTCATAACCTTCCATTTCAGCATACCATGTCTCTGTTTCCTTCTTTTTCATTAGGATGGCCACCTAGGTTTGAGGAAAAATATTTCTTCATTGGCAGCCTTTTAGTACTTATTCTTGGTAACTTCTACACAATTGTTCATATGAATTTATGGGGAAAATTATGGTTCTAGAATATCAAGAGAAAAGTGTATGTTCAATTTAAATCGGCGTTTTTCTTTTCTTGATTTTACTGTAATATTTTCAACAACTAAAATGGTAAAGCTTTTGCATGGTTTGTAATGACATGGTGCTAAACGGATCAGAGTAGTTGTTTGTCAGAGTATTGTATGCTATTTTAAAGTCTTAACTATTATTACTGGATGCTTTTGAAGATTTTATCTTTTCAGAGCATTTTCTCAAATGATAAAACATGTAGATTCAGGCTAGTTCCTAGGTTGAAGTGTTACCTGTAAAACTTGAAATGATTTTTCCAAGGGTTTTGTTAAATTGTGTCTCACCTGTTTGCTTTTTTTCTTTATTTCAATTTGTTGATTCATGGTTTTGTAGATTATTGCCCTCAGAAGAGCAAAGAGAAGAAATATGGAAAGGCTGGTGTTGGCATGTGGAGGAGAAGCTGTAAATTCTGTTGATGATTTAACACCTGATTGCCTTGGGTGGGCTGGACTTGTTCATGAGCATGTCCTTGGGGAAGATAAGTATACATTTGTGGAAAATGTGAAGAATCCTCATTCATGTACAATTTTAATAAAAGGTACTTGAAATGTGTTTGCAGCTTCATATAATTTAACACCATTATTGATGGTGTTGCTTTTGCCAAATTTCTTATTTAACTAATATTCATTCTATCATCTATATCTAGGGCCTAATGACCACACAATTGCCCAAATTAAGGATGCTGTTCGTGATGGCCTGCGCGCTGTCAAGAATACTATTGAAGATGAAGCTGTTGTCGTAGTAAGTTCTGCTTAGTATTGATTTGTTTGCAGTTTTTGCTGCTTCTTTATCAGAGTGTTTGCATGATCATTATCTACCTTGTTTTATGAGTAATTAACACAGGATAGAACGGGGTAGTTTGGACTTTGGAGTGAAAACCGAAAGAATGGGTGATTAGCTGATCAGTACAACCCATTTTATCTGGAAGCTCTTGAGAAAAAAAAATTAAATCTTAATGATTGTCATAATTTGAGAACTTTATGCATTAGGCAAATTTTAGTATTATCCACAAACATTGCAGAAGGATGATTTTAAATAGGGTAAACTATAAAAACCCTCTAAAGTTTGGTGGATAAAATACATTTACCCCATATTAGTTTGAAATATCACCCCTTTGAAAAGTAACAGTGGCTACAAAGTTAACTTTAAATGAAAAGACAAGTATGTTCCTTTGTTATATATTTCTCCATTTCATATTTTATTTTTCTTTTTTTTTTTTTCATCTCTTTCTTTTTCTTTTGCCCTTTTGGCTTTTCGTTTTTAATTACAAAATTGGGAGATATAATTAGTTTTAAAATGGTTGAGCCTGCATTGCTTTTGAATCTGGGATGGTGCCTGTTTCACTCAGATGGACAGATGGGAATAAAAAATTCTCTGTTTATATTCCTAAAATCTGATCAGATGGCTATAAAGCAGAATAAGAAAGAATAAATAGCAGGCACATTAAGGTAAATAGCTTTCAGATAATCTGTCTAGAGACTCCAATAGAGATGGTAATGGCAAAAGAAGTTAAAAGTTCATGAGCAATTTGTAAAAATTATAACGTATTGACCTGGAACAATTTTGATTTGTCTGTTAATGAGCTGTTAGACTTCTGGTATTTCTGTTTACATGATGTGTTTTGTTTGAATGCTGAGTGTGATGGAGCTATTAGTCCATGTTATTTTATCGAACTCTTCTATGAAATGCAATCTGCATGCAGCCTTAGATTTAGGTCAAGGCTAGTGTAACATTGCTGTTAAAAGTAGTTTTTGCGTTCAAAAACTGCTTTTGACCTAACTTCAATGCTAAACAACAAAAAAATTGGTGAAAAAGTGCTTTGGGATGGAAAAACATTATACTACCTTATATTTGTAATATTTTATTATTTATGTATTTTTTTTTAGACAATTCAATTAATGAAAGCACTTTTTCATAGTAATACTAAATACTTAAAATATTTAACCACACTTTTTAGATGTACTTTTTTCAATTTGGTCCCAATGCTATCAATAGAAGCAAAATACATTGGAAACTTTTCAGTTATATTCTGATCTACGGCTCATCTGTGCTTTAGGGTGCGGGAGCTTTTGAAGTTGCAGCTAGACAATACCTAATTAATGAAGTGAAGAAAACTGTTCAAGGGGTATGGCTCTCCCATATTTTGTTATTTGGAATTATTTAGGAAGACTATTGAAATGTTTATGATATTTGTAAACTTTGAGCAGCGTGCACAATTGGGTGTTGAAGCTTTTGCTGATGCCCTTCTTGTGGTTCCCAAGACTCTTGCTGAAAACTCTGGCCTCGATACTCAGGATGTGATAATTGGTCTTACGGTATTACTTCTGGACCTAATCACTGTTTATTTTACCTCTTTTCAACAGTGAAGTTGGAAAAACATATGAGCGTTCTCATTTGACTGTTTATTCAGGGAGAGCATGACAGAGGTAATATTGTGGGTCTAAATCATCAGACTGGAGAACCAATGGACCCTCGAATGGAGGGTATATTTGATAATTACTGTGTGAAGCGCCAAATTATAAACTCTGGGTATGTAAAAGCTTTCTAGGGTTAAATATCCTTGAATTATAATGAAATGTTCAATGTGGTATTTGAATTATGAGTTTGTTAATTAATATAGTACTCATCCCTAACATTGTTAGCTCCAAATGGTGACATGTGATGTACAAACAGTTTCACAGTTCATATACTACATTAGAGATCTTTAAAATTCAGATATTACATTGAACATTTCACCATAATTCAAGTATCATTCGTGATATTATTCCAACTTTCTACTTGTATTGGAAAATTATCTCCATTTGCCCCACTTTTTAACTTGCTATTATTGGCTTATCTTTCCATTTTCACCAATTACCACTGTCAATTCATTGCTTGCCATGATGATGCATGTTTAGTATGAAAGTTGGAACAAAAAATTTATCATCAATATGATCTTGCTTTTGGTTTGAGAAATGATAGAAGGTACTTCTTTTTGTCTTTTAGGCCTGTAATTGCATCACAGCTGCTGTTGGTGGATGAAGTCATTCGGGCTGGAAGAAACATGCGGAAGCCAACTTAACTGTGTTTGTGTGCTTCAATTATATACTTTTCTTCACCTGGGTGATTTTGTTTTGTGGTTTGACTGTCATTGATGATCTTTGTCATGTGTTGTAAACTGAGGTGGTTGTGTAAGCGTTGATGGTTACTTTTGTGAGGAAATATCCACTTCCTTTCAATTCAACTAGTTTCAACTTAAAAATGAACGTCTTTTCCTATTATACATTTGATATGGTACGTGTTATATTTGTTTTATGTTAAATACGTATAAAGTATGAAACTTATCATATCACAATTCACATTTACATATTAGACACGAAACATAATTTTTAACTTTTATCAAATTTATATGATTTTTGTTAAAATTTTAAATTATTTTTATTAATTTTTTTTTATTGTTTACGTGTGTCGTGTTTAAAGCTAGCAAGGTTGGTATACATGGCATTTGGTTTTTGTGAACTTATGCATTTATATTATGTAAAATGCTAATAATTTATATATTTATATAATGTTTTATATTAAAATTATGTATCAAAAATTATTTTGATATGAAAATATTATTTTGTTAAAATTTTAAATCATATTATTTTGGTATTATTTTTATATCAGTTTAGTGTGTGGTATTCTAGATTGTTAATTTTAATTTTTTTTTCTTATTTAAACCTCACATCCATCTCCCCAATCCTCTTTTGTTCTTATTGGCAAATATGTTAGATAAAATTCAAGTTGAAACACTATAAAACACCGCATTTAATAATTTATTTTGTAATACAAAGTGACGACATGAAATGATATGAAAGTAATATTAAAAATAATATGAAGATGATGTAATTTAAATTTTTAATAAAATTTATATATAAGTTTAATAAAATTAAAAATTAAATTTTATATTTTTATGTTGAAATTTATAGTACATAATTTTTATATAAAATATTAATATTTTATAAATACGAGTGCACGAATTTATCAGAAATATCTAACAGAAATTGCAAAACACCATTCCTGAAAATAGGGCTAGGGGAAAGCTATTCGAGGTTCGTTTGGACCTTCCTTAGTCAAAATTTTAATTTTAATTAATTCAAAAGATAAAAAGTAAAAAAAAACAGTCAAAGTTGGGCCCCACTTCTCCAAAAACAAGAATAATTTATTTATTTAATTTTCGAAGAATTTAAGCAATTGACGGTGAACTTCCAACATAGCCCAAAATTGCACGGGAATCTCTGTAATCCGCCACTTGTCAGTTTCCCGTTGGACCATCCTGTTTCCCTCTTCCTCTCTTTTACACTCCCGTTGGAAAATATTAAAATTAATAAAAAAGCAGCCCTCTTCGTTCCCTTGATATATTTTTCGTTCCTTTCTCTCATTTCCATCAACAAATAAAAAAAAAAAGAAAGAAAAACAATCCTCGAAAGGTACGTTATTTTGGATAGATTCTCTTTTAAATTTTTGTGATTGATATTTTTGGATTTTTTTTTTATTTTCGGATCTTTATGTTTTTATTTTATTTATTTTTGCTTTTTATTGATGCAATGAGTGATTTTTAGCTTTTTTTTTTTGTTTAATTTTTGTGTTTTGATTCGATCTGTTTGAGATTTGAGCTTTTTATAGCTTGATTTGACTAATTAGGATTCTTTTTTTTTTTTTGCTATCTGTTGGGTTTTAAGAAATTAAGGAAAAAGAAAATAGGAAATTTTTTACTATTTTAGTATCCAAAAAAGTAAGAATTTTGATGTTTGGTTACTGAGAAACTATTAGAAAGGAGCTACTGCTAATGATTTATTTTCCTCACAGTTTTCATCTTTTTTTTTTTATTAATAATTACATTGTAGGTTGTAACTGTATTGGTTGGAAAAAATTTGGATCTAAAAGTTTGACAAATTTGTAGAAACAAAGAACTAAGAATACAAGACTGTTCATGTTTTAGGATTGAGGAATGGGAATGTCTCCAGTGATTGTTCTTGATGTCGATGCACGTGTTTAGACCGATGAAAATTTGGTTATAAATGTTTGTTTAATAAAGGAAATCTTGTTGTGTTGCAGGATCAAGTATTAGATCGATATAGGAAAAGATGTTGCCAACTGAATCATCACGAGAGGAAAATGTTTACATGGCCAAGTTGGCCGAGCAGGCCGAACGCTACGAGGAAATGGTAGAGTTCATGGAGAAAGTTGCAAAAACTGTCGATGTTGAGGAGCTGACTGTCGAGGAAAGGAACCTTCTCTCTGTGGCTTACAAAAATGTGATTGGAGCTAGGAGGGCTTCATGGAGGATCGTCTCTTCCATTGAGCAGAAGGAAGAGAGCAGAGGAAATGAGGATCATGTTACAATCATCAAGGAGTATAGGGGCAAGATTGACGCTGAGCTCAGCAAGATCTGTGATGGGATTTTGAGCCTTCTTGAATCTAACCTCATTCCTTCAGCCTCATCTGCTGAGTCCAAGGTGTTTTACCTTAAGATGAAGGGTGACTATCACAGGTATCTTGCTGAGTTTAAGACTGGTACCGAGCGGAAGGATGCTGCTGAGAGCACTTTGTTGGCTTACAAGTCTGCTCAGGTGTGTGAAATTGGTGATGTCATCTTCTCAATATGAGTTACTTTCTCTATAATTCCTTGAACATCTTTTTACTGAAAAGGTTCAGACAGAATTTCTTAGTTTTTTATTTTGTTTATGGTGGCAGGATATTGCTCTTGCTGAACTTGCTCCTACTCACCCAATTAGGCTGGGACTTGCTCTTAACTTCTCTGTTTTCTACTATGAAATCCTCAACTCACCTGATCGTGCCTGCAATCTTGCAAAACAGGTGTTTATTCTCTACTACTTTGCTACTAATTTCTTTTCTTTTTTATTTTTCGGTCTTTGTTGACTAGAACAGCTAACGATATAAACTATGGAGTTTTAGTTGTCTGGTTTTTAAATGTCTTGGTGTGTTTCATCTGTTTTGGATGGCATGGTAAATTGTTCTAGTCTAATCCCATCCTAACTGGATTGATTTACTTGTGATAGCAACTCCTTATATCTAAGTGAGTTGCTTGTTTGAGTACTCAACCTTTTAACAACTGATAATTACTGTGCCAATCTAGTTAATACTCAGAATGGTTTGGATGGTGGGCTTAGGAGAAAGATTGACTATATATGTACTCTTTTTGCTCATGAAATCTGTTGTTAAAAGATTGAATTAAGTTTTTTGTTTTGTAGTGTAGAGTGAGTCTAAATTGTAACATGTTAATGATTTGCTTTGATTCATGTGAAGTCTGGTAATTTTTATAAAATGTTACCCTTTTTACTTTGATTTATTAATTTAACTCTATATATTCAAGGCATGAAAATTAGATTGTTCTTATGTGAAGATCCACAAATGTCTTCTCGAGGACATGAATTGAATGTAAAAGGGTTGCTTGTCAACCATTATAAAATGACATGTTTTTCATTTGGCAGGCTTTTGATGAGGCTATTTCTGAGTTGGATACATTGGGTGAGGAATCTTACAAGGATAGTACATTGATCATGCAACTTCTCCGGGACAATCTGACCCTTTGGACATCTGACATCACGGTATCTCTCTCTCTCTCCTTTTTGCGTGTGGATGTGTTAATCATGAAAATATCAAGCAGCTGTGCTGTCTTTAGACATCAAGTAAAATTATTTTTAAATCACCATAATTCACACTAACAATTTGTTGGTGCAAACTGGCTGGTTGGGTGCTCTTCGTTCCACACTCAACCTGGATTTGACAAATGTCTAACCATTTTGCTTCCATTGTCGTGACCTTCTCTACCTTAATCTCTAAACCACCGGGCATTACATCTCATATAAATTAGTGTTAGGATTAAAATCCTAAAGTTTCAATTAATCTCCAAAACAATTCTTGCTTCTTTAACTGTATCAAGAATGTTCCATCCACAGTATACAAGCCACAACACATTTCACCTCAATGGAGTAATTTCAGAACTAATATTCTGAAGTTATTGTTGTTAACTTGGGACTTTGTATTACTCATGTTAATTGTTTCATTGATTAATGTTGCACCTGGCATGTTCCTTTTTAACCGATGAAGGGTCTTCTCAAGTTTTTATTCAGATGATTTGTTGTTTTGGGATTAATGTGTTTTTTTTTCCTCGGTTTTAGGATGAAGCCGGAGATGAGATCAAGGATGCTTCAAAGCACGAGCCAGGTGAGGGACAGCAGTGATGAGATAAGTTGATAGGATATGAACTCTGTACGTTATCTTGCAGGTTTTACATAGATGCAATATGGTTTGTCATAGAAAGTTATTTTTTTTATGCATTCACCAGCACTTGGAATTGAATTATTATGTGCTTTATCATTGGAGAACAAGAATTGGTTTGGTTTTCATTTGTCAATGGTAAAATATTGCGTTTTCCAATCAAGTTTTTGGTGCTTCTTCTATATATTTTTCTTTGAATGTTAATAGCTTCATGTTTTAAACATCTTATCTGTGTTTCTGTCATTTGCTTAGTGATTTTTAATCCACTGGAAGCCGGAAAGTGTTTGTTTTTGCCCTGTTTTGCTCATTAAAGTATACATGGAGTAGTTTTCTGGGTTTGGTGAAAAATTGCGGTGCATTTGCCCTTTTTTTTTTTTTGATATATTTGGCCAAGACTTTTTTGAAAAGTTTGAGTTTGTAAAGCTGATATAATTTGAAAAACCAAATTCAATTTGATTAAAAAACAGGCAACAAGATGAATTCATACATCTCAATTTTGGATAATTTGAATTTAAAGTGATTTCACTTTGAAATAATTTGAATTTTAAAGGTTTAAGTATAAAAAATGTCTTTTAACAAAAATTAAATAATTATTCAAGTTTATATTGTTTTATTAGGGTTATAAATAAATTGAATATAAACAAATGAATTTATGTATGTGATTGGTTTGTTTGTTTGTTTTTTTTTTTTTTCCTATGAGGTGTTAGGGTTCCATTTGTTTTACGTAAAAAATTGTTCTATTTGTTTAAATTTGGTTTGTTCAAGTCATAGGATATTCGCGTTTGGTTCATACTCAATTCAATTAAATTAAACGAGTTCGTTTGTGAATATTAAATGAACATGTTTACAAATATATATAAACGAATATATTCATGAATGATAATTAAATTATAACTAAATAAATAAATTTTAAACAAACATAAACGAATTCAAATGAATATAAACGAATTTTAAAATATAAATAAAATTTAAAATAAAATTAAAAGATAAAAATATAATTTTATTAGTATTATTATAAATGAACAGCAAACGAAATAATCGAATAATAAACATGGGTTTTAAACGAATTTATTCATAAATAAATGAATCAAATAGATTTTTATTTGTATTCAGTTCGTTTAATAAATAAATATAAAAATATTGTTTAAAATCGTCTGTTAAATTTAATAAATGAATAGAAACAGAATATGTTCACAAATAGTTTATTGAATGCACTGTTTATTTACATCCTTATGTTTTATTGCAATTTAATTATAAGACATTTATTTTCATTCAATTGAATTTTTAAAGATTTATTTTTATCCAAATAAATTTTTAAATATGTTTTTTAATCAATTGAGCCTTTGATTGAATGAAAATGAGTGTTAATGGTTAATTAATTTTTGTCTAATAAAGATTCAATTGATATTAATGGATGTTTGAAGATTTAATTGATTGTAATAAAATGATAAGAATGATTGCTTAATTTTAGTTCTATTTAATTTTAGTTAAGTACTTTTTAATTCTTTTGCCAATTCTAAATGATCTAAACATGATTTATTTCAAATCTAAAGGTGAATTAATTTGAATTCAAGATTTGATAGTTGAATTGATTCACATTCAAATTTTGGTTTGAATTCAAAATTATTCAAATTTACAAAATTAACTCAAAACAATTTGAATTTAATTAATTGTTATTAGAAATTAGTAGTTTGATTGATTGTAATAAAATATTAATAACTTAAATGATTATTTAATTATAATTTAAGAGCATTTTTAACCTTTTAACCTAAAATGGTTTAATAGGATTTACTTTTAAGAATTATAAGTAGATTGCATCGTAATAAATATAATTTGGGTTTATATTTGATTCTTTATTAATATATAGATTTTATACATTATCAATAAATTAGATGATGTCACTTTATTAATGAAATAAATAAGAAGATATCACTTTATTAATAGATAAGCTTTTTTAAAAATATTAATTTTTTGTATATTTATTTTAAAGATTAATATCTACTCATTAATGAGATAATATCATTTGATTCACTAACATATATAGAATTTATATATTAACTATGCATCAAATATAAACATATAATTTTAGTTGAAATTAACAACGTATGGTTGGTTTAAGTGGCAAAAAAAAATGTATTTCTTTTTTCATTATTTGAATTTAAATATTTTAGAAGGCTAAGAAAAGTAATTTTTAATGAATTAACTAAGGTAGCTCGTTAAAGGTGTCCATAAATACTCTCAACGATTGGGAAACAAGAAATTTTAAAGGAAATTTTTTTAAACACCCCCAATTTCTTATGAAGATTCTTTTTATTGAAAAAATTGATAAATTTGTCGATAATTCTTGGTTGAATGATTGTTTAATTATATATATATTGAGAAATATGTATTTTTTTAGTATTAATACTAATGCAATTAATTTTTTAAAGATATGAAAATTTGTCGTAAACAATTATAATAATATAACAGTGTTTTATTTCAAATTTTGCTAACAATTTTATAATATATATTATAAGTTAACATCTAAAAAATTGACTACAAGCAAGACTTTTTATTATTTCAAGATGGCAAATCTATGTAGAGCAGGTTCGAATATGTGCAATATGGATGGTATTACCAAAGATGAAGAAAAATGTGAAACCATCTTTAAGATCATCTTATTCAATATGTACAATACACAATTCTACTATTTCTCTCGAAGTGAGGTGCCATCACCCTACATGATTATTTCAACGAAATAGCTATAGATTTTGTTTCAAACCCTTTTTTTCTTTTTCTTCTATGCAAAGTCATCAAATGGCAATTTATGTGTTTAAAGGAGGTTCCATAATGAAAAGTAGAGAGCTGAAAACCACAATGAAAACAGTAAACACAATGAGTGATTTGCAAGGATCAGCATATCGTCCAACAAGTGTGATTTTTTCCTCTTGACCAGTTCTTGATGATGTATCATCCAATTGTAGCGTAGGGCATGTGAAAAAACCATATGCTATACCAGTAAAAGCTGCTCCAAAATGTGTCCTGCCATAGTCAATATGTTACTTTTATTTTCACTCTAATTCTAATTTCTAACAGTATGAAATGAATAATGAATGAATTTTGCTGTCCTACAAAGTTCATGTTAAAACAATAAGATATATAAGTGGAAGATATCTGACCAGTCATCAATGGGACCAAAATTGCTTAATATGCAGCTAAGAGCTGTCACAAGCATTGCCTTTTGGAACATTCTCTCAAAAATATCATTTGCAATTACATCTTTGTTTTGTTTTTGATAAATCAGCCAGGCACCAATCACTGCAAAAACTGGTCCCTGCAGGCAATAGATAGCCCCAACCAACAAGTTCAAACTGTGAAGGAAATAACTTGATACTTTTTGCATTGCAGTTAATTAGGTAACTTAGAAATAAATCGTATCATGCAAAATACCGGTAATTTATTTATTTATATCATATTTTACATAAAAATTATGTATCACAATTCGTGTTGACACGAAAAATACTAAATACACTTGTTTGTCTGTTAATAAATCCATATATATTTTTTACTAAAATTTTAAATTGTTACCTTCATATCTTTTTTTTTTTTGTATCATTTTCGTGCATGTTATCATTTCTAGGTTTGAAATGTGAGGTCTACTTAGAAGAGAGAAAGGAACAAGGAGGAGAAATGTTGCGCACCGTCCCACCAACAGTCGGTTCTGGTGTGTGTAGAAAGCTTATCAGGTTTCCAGAGATCCCACCGAGCAAGTATATTAAGAAAAATGTAAACGATCCATAATGTCTGCAAACTTTAGGTCCGAAAGAAAGAAGCCCCCAACAACCAAGAGCTACATGAAAAATTCCAAAATGCTGTGTTGCCAAATCAAACATTAACGAAATCAAATGTTATTATGGTGGATGAAGCAAAAAGAAAAACTAAGATCATGCAAATGAAATGAATGATAAACATTTCATAAAACAATTGATATTTATTTGACAACAATGTATGAATCCAATTCATGGCAGATCAAAGCATGAAGCAAACACCTGTAAAGACTGAAAAATAAGAAAATTTGAAGGTGTTCATCGACAAAATTGAAATTAATCGGTTAGGGATAACAACAGTTCAGATAATATCAGATTATATTTGATTTTTTAAAATAATGTATTAAATTATTGAATTTTAAAATTAAGTTCGGTTTAGTTAACGATATCTTAAATTTATTTTTTTTTGTTTTTATATATTATTTTAATATGATTTTTAATATATTTAAATAAATTTAGGTATAAAAAATTATTTTTATTTTATAAAAATTTAAAAAATATATAATTCAGTTAGATTCGATTATATTTTTTTCGGTTTTTACTTCTTTATTGAAAATTCAATCAAAATGTAATATATACATTTAATATCTGAACTTAATTTGAACTGAATGAGAAAAAAATCGATCAAAACCGAATCGAACACTATAATTTCAAATCAATTTAAGATTTTTTCAATTTTTTTCTTATCCCTACTGTGGGTAATCTTTTATATATAGGTGGACAACATTAAAAAAAAAAAAAAAAGTCCTGAATCTGTTACTGTTTATCTTTACCTAGTTATTCTAGTATGTTTTCAAAGAACGAAAATGATTGTTTTGATTGAAATTCTTTACAGAAAATAATATGAAATGACATAAACAGAACAGAAAAGAAACACGAACCCAATTGTTTTAATCTTGTACCAGAAACATTGGTGTCACAAGCCTCCACCATTCTCCAAGCAGAATCAGATCGTTTATTTTCGCTCCATATAATGAAGGAAGGGAATAGAGCTCCAAGCCTGAACTTCTAACTGGAGTGGCAATTTCAAACAGAAACACTGCAATGTTTATGGAAGCCAGTATACTTCTGTATCCAAATAAAGAATAAAGAAGCATATGAGAGATTGTATTATCCACTAGGCATAGAATTTCTAGCATTAAAATGCAGTGGTAGATCCATGCTTGAAGGTTGAAAAACAACAAAATTCGAAGGAAAATTTTTCTATCCGTCGATAAAATTGATAAATCCATTGATAATTTTTTTATGTATATGATAAGTGAACATATCTGTAAAAAAAAAAAATTATGGATCCGTCACTGCTAAAACATAGATAAATAAGAGCATGAATGGATTTGCAACAAACATAAAATCACTTAAGAGGACTAGTGATTTACATTAAGTAGAGATCAGAGGCTTCATCATATTGCTGCAAAGCTTCAGACCTCTTTGAGCCACTACCAACATCCCTTAGTCTGAAGCCTATATCACTTCTCAATTTTGCTTCCTCTTCTATCTTAGCATCTTCACTTACAGAAAATGGTGTTGCTATTGGGTTGCCTTCAGGGGTTTGGCCACCGGCATCGGATGATAATACATAGTTCTTAGAATTTGAATCTGAAAAATTCAAAAGAAACTCAAACTTTCAGACATGAATGCTTGTTTTCCACACTTTCTATATGAATTTAGAAAAATTTGCTCCTAAATCAAAATGAAGGCAATAGTATTAATAATCATATGCAATTAGTCCAATGGATGATGATACTTTATCAAGGTTAATATCAAGATGTTCCTTATGGTGGCTTTTGCCTTCTCTTATACTCATGGCATAAACAATGTCAAAAAGACTAGGCTTGTTACCAGACTTAATAATTTAAAATACGATACGAAAATAATATGAATAAAGACATGAATATGACATAAATTAAAATTTTAACAAAAATCATATATGAATTTAATAAAAAAAATATTTCGTTTTTTTCGTATTAATGCAAACTATAATATGTAAATTTCGTATAAAATAAGACACGAATACATGAATTGTTAGATGTATTTATTATTGTTAACATTTGTAGGATCAAATACGGACTTAAAAATAAACCTTTTGACATATTAAAGTACCTTCATCGAGTTTGCTAAGATAAGCATCGAGAGACTTGAGCTCCTTCTTTATGCTACTTTCCCCACTTGTATCAAGCAAATCCATTGTTTTGTTTGAAGAATCTGAAGAAGCCTTCTTTGCATCTTCTTGAAGTTTTCCAAAATAAGAATCCAATAATCTCAGCTGTGATTCATTAGTACCAGGCAATGAATTTTCCTTTGGCAATGCTTTCCTGGATAAGGGTCTTAGATGAAATTTTGTGTTATGCACACCAGTTAAGGTCCAAAGATGCCATTGCAGTCTATTAAAACCTCCGTCTTTCTTTCCGGTATCGGTGTTTGTTACGATACCGGAAGAAATATGCAAGGGATGCCACCCCTTGCATCTGTGGTCACAACTAGAAGAAAAACACTTAGAACCGTCTGTGCAGCCACATATTAAGCCTTTCTCAGACTGTCTTGCTACGTTAGGAATTTGAAAATTTTGTTCTTTGTATGGCATTTTGTAACATAGGGGAACCACAGCCATGCTGACCTGCAACTTTCATAGTGCAGAGAAATAAAATTTAACAATGATGGATGCTTGAATTCACAAACATCTAAACTAATGCTTTGAAACTGAAAAAGTAAAAAAAAAAAAAAAATGCTTTTGTTTTCATTTAAGAGAAAGTGCCTCTAGAAGTACATGCTAGCCCATAGGAAGCATTGGCACAGAATTCAAGAGATTATGAAGCTTGCATTGAACTATAATGAAAACATTAGGGATAAAATCTCCAATCTGTTCTGACATTTGGAAAAACCTCAAAACTTTTCTTATGTCAGACACTATAAATTTTAATTTTTGTTTCATTAAAACAAATCCAATATTACGAAAGTGTTATCAATCGTATTATCTGTTAATAAAATATTAAACTCTAAATTTTAAATGTCAAAATTCAATCCGTGACAATCTCAAATACAAAAAAGAATAAACAAACCCAACGTAACATTTTATCTTACGTTCAACTTCTGGAATATGAAAAGAACACAAAACATATAGTTCAAGTTTTCATCTTGTTCCATTCACAGCAAGAAATCACATGAGAAATTCAAAGAAAAACTGAAGACAAGTAATGTTTTGGCTCTAGTATCAAACATATATTCCTAACTTTCACATGAATCTCATCTGATGAACATCTGATAACACAATTTGCAAGAATGTCCAACATTTTTTTATGTTCCTGTAATGTAACATTCTCTGACAGCAAAACAGGAAGACACAGACAAGAAATAAAACAAAAAATCAACATATGTTCTACTCCTGCAACTGGTCATCATTAATAATTGTAAAAGACAGAAAAAGCTGTAAAATTCTGTGGGAAATTCAGAAATACCCTGTGAAGAAGAAGACAAAGAGAAGCTCAAAATCCCAAAGATGATGGAGAATGATAAAGGAGATGATAATTTGCAGACATTGTTTTCATGGTGCTTTCATTAATGGAGCTTCATAATTGAAGTCCTACCATGGAACAAGACCCGGGGATGGCGGACTAATTTGATAAGTACTATATTAAGCAACACGGAAATCTACTAAATCTAGCCTTATCTTTGTTGGCCCACTTGTTTGTTGCCACGTGTAATGTACGTAATCCCTATCGTATGAGATTCGCCCCACCCAAGATTTGCACGGACCCCACTGCTTCCTTACTACATTTTCGTTCTTTTACTCCCTTCCCCTTTTCCTTTTTTCGACTGTTAATTCATTAAAAAAAAACAAGGGAAGTAGAGAGGAGAAAAAAAGTAAAAAAAATTCGAGAATTAATTTGAAATTATAATATTTAGATTGGATTAGATTAATTTTTTATTTATTTATATTTAAATTTGGATATTAAATATTTTTGTAAGTACACAAAAATTGAAAATATTAAAAATATTCAAATCGAATTATATATTTTTATTAATTTTTATACATTTTAAAATTTTATAAAATAAAAATAATTATTTTATATTTAAATTTATTTAAATATATTAAAAATTATATTAAAATAATATCAAAAAATAAAAAATTATTTCTTAAAATTCTATGAATTAAACTTAAAAAATTTAATTCGAATCACATTGATTTTAACAAAAAAATTGATTTGAATTTAGATTGATTTTTAAAATTTTATACTAATATACATTAAGTAAAATAATTGAATTGTTACTGTCACTAAATGAATGTAATATCATTTTAAGATTAGATTATATCGTAGATTTTAATAAAAATTTACATTTGATTTATCAATGGTCCACTAAAAAAATTACTAATAGTAAAAACCAAACAATTCCTCCTTTGATTTAATTCATTTATCTTTTCCTCACTCAAATACAAGAATGACGTTTTAAATTATATTATTATTTATATTTGTAGTAATTGTAAATGATCCAAGCATCATCATATTCTTTGTTATTTTACATTGGTTTTTTGATAAATGGAATTTAAATTCTATTAACAAACGGAACCAAAAGGTCCCTATTTTCTTTGTGAATTGTAAAGTATAAAATATTTTATATTATATATATAATGCATAACATATTTATTCAAAATTTTAGATATTAATAATTGACATTTTGATTGAAAAGTGTCTTTTTATACAACAAAGAGAGATTATAAATAGGATTTTATCTCCAAATGTACTCATTGTATTTGAACTAGTATTATGTTTAATTTATTTAATAAATTTTCAATTTCAATCTATACATTAAAAAAAGTTGTCATATGTCTATTAAACTATAATTAAGAAAATTAAAATACTAAAATAATTACTAAATCTACTTGTCGTTCATAAAATCTATTGTCAATACATATCGATCAAATTTAAATATTAAAAAATATTTATTTAAGTATTTTTTAATTGTTATTTCATTCATATAATAAACCTATTGATCAAATTTAAATATTAAAAAATAATATATCAATACATATATAGGTATGTATAATCAGAAGTATTTGTTTGATCGAGATATTTGTCAATTATGGGAGGTTTTAATTTGATTAAATTATTTTATTAGTAAATAATATATTTTATTTTATTAAAAAATATTTTTAACATTAATATTTAATCTAAAATATTATTTTAATAATAAAAATAATAATTAAATGAATGGATTAGAATTGGGTTTGGCTTTTAGAAAGGAAAGTCTGATAGTTTGGCTCATCCTAATGTTGTAATATGTGGATTTGTGAACCAATCACAAGATTTAAAATTTTGAAAAATAAAAAAAAATAGAGAATTGTTATCAATATTTTTTGTTAGATGTGATTGGTCACTTAAAAAGTTTATTTTTTTAATAAAACCAAAAAATATTTAGAGTTTATCAAAAATATATTTTAATATTTAAAAATAAAGTTAAGTTTGAGAGTATGATTATGAATATGGAAGGATTAGCATTCCTACAATACTCATTTAAAAAATAGTACCAATGAATCATGTATTATCTTTGATGTGGGATAAAAATGATTTCAATTTGATGTTTAATAATAATTCACTTCACTTTTTTTAAAAAATAAATTTTATTTGATAAAAAAAAACCTTTTTAGGAATATTGCAAAAATCATTAGGTTAACAAATTATGTTAAAATTCTCAACATCTAAATAGAATTTAAAGATAATTCTTTCCGCCTAAAATTCATCACGATATTCCTTAAACATCAAAATAACATTCTTTGAATATAATAATTGCTAATGACTCTCCAACATTTAGGCAAAGTACTAAAAATTATTTCCTTGAAATGTTATTTTAATTTTATTTTCACAATCCATTTTTTAAACAACAATTTTTATAAAAAAATTTTATGTAGAAAAATAAATAACGTTATAATTAATGAACAAATAGTAAAAATTAAGAGATATAAATATGTGGAAGAATGCAATCAATAATCTAAAAATAAATATATGTAAATGTATGTTATGTAAGCTAATGAGATGTGATTTTGGAATCGGGTCCTTAAATATAAAGAGACCATCCGAGCTCCCCAACCTTTGGGTAGAGTTTAGGTACGACTATTTATATTTAAAATTTTATTTTTATTTTTTCTTTGTTTAGTCTTCGTATTTTTTGTTTAAGGAATCACATGAAAAACTTAATTAAATAAAATTTTCTAAATACCACATCCTCTAAGCGGCATTTAAGAACAAATTATTTCATATAAAATTTTCTTGCAAATTCTTTGAATTTTTTATTTTTTATTTTTTTTGTGTTTGGATTAGATTTCAGCTTTGGGTAGATTTAGGATTAGAGGCTAGGTTTAAGGTTTGGGTAATTTAGGGTTTTGGCTAGGGTTTAGGGTTTGTTTTAAAGCTTAGGATTTTGTTTAGGGTATTAAGGCTTTGGTTTAGGGTTTAGAACTTTGATTAAGGGTTTAGGGTTTCTTTTTAGGGAAAAATGGGAATTATTGATAAGTTGAACTTCCTTCATCATCCCCAACATCTAGATGAACTTTCAAAGCAAATTCAATTTTCATATTTTCCTTTTTCTTTAAAAGTTCTATTTTTAATGTAACATAAGACAAATAACCGATGCAAATGCAAACCAAAAAAACAAATGAAACGACCAATTTGATCCATCATGTACAGGTTTGATCTTTTTTTTTTTTATCATTTCCTTTCCAAAATGAAAATTACAAATGAATGAATTTAAATTATTATTAATTATTTTTGTGTAGGAAATTTTTTTTAATTCTCCAACATCTAGGTGAAATTTAGAGAAATTAACTATTCAAAATATGATTTGAATTCCCTTTAACATCTAGACAGGGTTTCTAAAACCATTTTTTTCATAGAAATATTATTCTATTTTTATTCCTAAAACCTTCTTTTGAAAATCATTTTGGGATCACAAAATTTCTACACTCATTTTTTATTCAAATCTTATTTTATTTCATCATGCATCCACAAGCAAATTAATTTTCAGGAATATATCTATATGTATTTTATTTATTAATACAATTATTATTTTCCACTATTCCTAGAGCAATATCAACAAACATAAAAATATTAAAGATAAAATAAAATAAATAGCAAAAAAAAGAAGGAAATATACCTAAACGAAGCTGTAAGAATAAAGCCCAAAGTCCATAATCCACTAAACCTAAAAAACAAAATTATTGGATCAGAAAGTGATGTAAGCCTTGTGCAAAAAAGAGGTCTGAAAGTCAGCTAGGTTTGGGTCAAGTTAGGTTTCTAAACGAGTCATAAGTCATAACAAGGGTCGGGTTGGTAGGTCATGGGTCAGTAGCTGCTCTTTTTCCTTTTTGCCTAAATGGTGCATTTAGCACCTTTGAAAACTTACTTTTTGTCGTAACGGTTTTATGTTCACCTGATGAATTTGAAAATTGAATAAAAAAATCAATGGAGTCGTCACCAATCTTTATTGGCTAGGTGCGTTGGCCACCTACTAAACATCCCTTATAATAAAGTTTCAAAAATTAATTAAAATTATTTAAAAAATAATATTACGGTCGCTGAAAAGTTGGACGTTCGGGAAGTAGGTTACGACAGTGGGAGGATAAGCACCCACAGCGATCATTTTAAAAAAATGTACCAATTAACAACGATGTTATCCTTTTGATTTGGATAAATAGTCCAATTTCGGCATTTTCAAAAAAAAATTAATTTTCCTTGATTTTTTATTTATTAGAAAAATTTTATTCTCGGAACAAAATAATTAAACTTTCTTATTGAAATAATTCTTAAAATGTTTTAGTACGTTGGTAACCTAGAAGACTTTTTCTCACCTAGCAGATTTTTTTGCATCGCTTCTCGGA